ATACTTAGGCATTGTTACAAAAGGCGTGGTCCCTGGAAAGAAGCTTCGGTTGATGGGCTATCGAGTTTTTCTAAAAATGTTTGAATAATGATCAAATCACAGGAATCGCTAAAATGGCCAAAATCGCATAATCGGAGACCTACCACACAAGAAAGATAACAAATACACACTTCCTGAGAAAAAGGAGTTCTCGTGGGACCGTGTGACATGATGTCATGTCACACTCGCGCGGTCAAAATAATGCGCGCGGTCCCACACGCCAGACAGCGAAAAATAGCGCGGTCGTCAACGTGTTAAGAATGTGGAGAAAATCAAGGCCTTCATGTTGACTCTTAGGGGGGAGAGCGCAATCGTTTGGATTTAATTCAGTGCACTTATTCTCCGTTATTACTTCCACTCACTACACAGCCAAGTTAGAGCGCGATAGAGGGTTTAATAGGTGATGTATCGAAGTCTTTTTCCCAAACCTTCCTCGTTGCTAAAGTGACGTCACCCGCACTCGCTCGCGTCCCGCCGTCAGTGAACCATTCCATGGAACCCGATTGTTCATAGAGGTGGTTTTTGTCTGTGACAAAATACAAACTTTCCCGCACAGTTTGTTTCCCTTCGGAAACAGAATCTAGTGTGGGAAACTTTGTATTTTGTCTCTAGTGATCGCAATTGACATATACGTGTTGGGAAAGAATGCAAGCCTTCTCGGGAAGGTTTCCTTTGAAGCTGTAATATTCTAAAGCATGCCGTTGAATTTTTTGATAAGCACTGGCAAAGAATTTCTATGAGTCAAACTCTCAGTTTCCTACTTTCCTCGTTCATTGAAGAATATATAATATCATTCAATGAGAGATTTTTCATACTATACTATATCGTTTTCAGATTAGTGGGAAGATCGTGAGATATGATCTTACGACGGCAGATCTGCTTGGCATCAACTACAAATTTGTTCGCCTTACATTTCGAATTATAGAGAGAAACCTGCACTGAGTGGAATCACGCAAACAGGCTAACAAGGTAACGATTAAGTTAGTTTTCTTTCCTGTCTCGCAATTAATTATCTCGCAGCTATAAGGACGATAATGAATGAAATAGCATCCAATCTAGAAATACACACAGCTCCGCCGACAGATCTCGGGATCAGTTGGTCAGGGTCCACCATCCTGCCTTCCACGCACTTCTTTGAAATTCGCTTAGGCTTGCAAAAGGTCTGTGTTTGATGCACTGCAGAATTCCCACATAAACCCAGCACAAGTCAGCCATATCACGACAATTTGCGTCTTATGACTTCATTCACAGAACGTTCGGATGGCTCTGTTCTTTGCAGCTGCGCCCTGACTTTATGAAGACCCATGAGGAACAAAATGAGCACAAAACTCGATCCTTCGCTGATATGGCAGCGCGTAACGCTAATTCTAGCACAGAATATCACATGATTAATCTGTTTAGCTATCAGGTCTCGTTATAACGTTATCGTGTACTCATCAAAGAACATAAGGAAGTTCTCCGTAAGATGGAAACGGCAGTGTCAACAAAATGAGTGCAATGAACCTTTGTGGTACGTCTCCGTCAGATTGTCGCGTAAAAAAGTATCCCTATAAACTAGCTAACTGCCTGTGGTCAGAATCAGCACACGCCAACCTACGTATTTTTGTCACTGAGGTACGTTATTCGGTGGTAGAACTACCTAGAATGAAGTAACACAAAATCGAAGATTAGGTCTCTCTCGCAAGTCTTTGCGCTGGACAGACATGTATTCAAATGCTCCTACGGTTTCGAGTAAAAATCACAAGGATAGCGCTTCACAATAAAAAAAAGTAAGCATGGTTAAGCGTCTCTTATTTCACGAGCATCTTGAAATGAAGTAGGGCTAGGCTCAATGTGGAAAGTGGTCTCCCAAATCCCAATGGGCCAGTACAGCGGACTTGGGCAACGCGGCTGAGACCATCCTGCGATGTGCCAAGGAGGTACTGGGCGAGACGAGGTGGATTCAGAGGAGACAAGGCAGCGTGGTTCTGGAACGAGGAGGTCCAGCGAGTCGTGAAGCAGAAGAAGGAAGCATACAAGCGCTGGCAGAAGACCCGGAGCCCCGAGGACCTCGCTGCCTACAAGAGTTGCAAGAGGCTCGCTAAGGCTGCCGTCGCCAAGGCAAAGAACACGGAGATGGACGCCTTGTACGAGAAGTTGGAAAGCAGAAACGCAGAGAAGTTCGTCTTCAGACTGGCTAAAGCCCGGCATCGGGCTACTCAAGACATCAGGGTGGTGAAGAGCGTGAAGAGCAGCAACGGCGCCATCCTGAGGAAGCCAGCCGAAGTCCGGAGGAGGTGGGAAGAGTACTTCAGAGGTCTTCTGAACGAGGAGTTCCCCCACAAGAACAACTCACGGGCAGAGGCCACAGCTGGTCCCATCGCACTCTGGACAGAGGATGAGGTTAGGTGTGCACTTGGGAAGATGAAGGTTGGAAGGCGGTTGGTCCAGATGGGGTGCCAATCGAGGCATGGAAGGCGCTCGGAGAGTACGGGATAAGATGGCTCACCGATTCCTGAACAACGTAACTGCGGAAGGAAGGATGCCGGATGCCTGGAGAACAAGTACTATCGTCCCCATCTTCAAGCAGAAGGGTGACGCGATGGACTGCTCCAACTACCGCGGGATCAAGTTGACTGCGCATACCATGAAGTTGTACGAGCGACTGGTCGACTCGAAACTGCGGGAGCTGGTCCCGATCTCCCAGGAACAGTTCGGGTTCATGCCCGAAAGGTCTACAACGGATGCCATCTTCATCGCAAGGCAAGTGATGGAGAAGTATCGAGAAAAGCGCCGACCCTGCTACCTAGCCTTCCTCGACCTGGAGAAGGCGTTCGACCGGCTACCGCGAGCAGTACTATGGAGATCGCTCAGGGAACGGAAACGTGCCAGAACACCTGATCTCGCTGGTGAAGGACATGTACGAAGGGGCTAAGGCAGCCATACGCACCCCACACGGCCTAACGAAGGAGGTAAACATCACGGTTGGGGTGCACCAAGGGTCAGCTCTGAGCCCGTTCCTCTTCCTCCTAACACTAGATGTCCTGGTGAAGGGGCTCATGGAAGGACCACTAAAGACCATCCTCTACGCTGACGACATCGCCCTGATAGCGGATAGCAGAGAGGAACTACAGGCCAAGGTGCAGAATGGCAGAAGGTCCTGGCAGAAGGTGGGCTCCGGCTGAATGTCAAGAAGACCAAGTTCCTGAGCTCTGAAGAGGGTGCAGAGCCGATCGTGGACGGCCATGGTGAGACCATCGAAAGAGTGGAGGACTTCCGATACCTTGGGAGATCTGGCAGCCGACGGCAGTGTGGATCAGGCAGTAAAGGCAGGATCAACGCGGCATGGATGAAATGGAGGGAGTCCACTGGAATCCTCTGCGATCGAAGGTGCTCCAGAACGCTCAAAGGGAAGGTGTACCGAACAGATGCTCTACGGCAGCGAGTGCTGGCCCCTGAACAAGAATCACGAAAGGCAGCTTCACTCCGCTGAAATGAGGATGCTGAGATGGGCCTGCGGCTGGACGCGACTGGACAGGGTCAGAAACGAGGATGTCAGAGCGGTCATGCAGACTGCCCCTGTCCAGCTGAAGGTGAGGGAACAGCGACTGCGATGGTATGGGCATGTGCTAAGGAGGCCACAGGCCACCCGATAAGAAAGCGATGGACTTCGAAGTGCAAGGCAAGCGACCGCGAGGAGCCCCAAAGAAGAGGTGGAAGGACGTATCAAGAAGGACCTAAGTGAAATCACGGCCACAGCAGAAGATGCCCTAGACAGAGCGAAGTGGCGACGACTGACAAAGACAGCGGACCCTGCGACTGCGCGGGACTAACGCTAGGGAGAAGAAGTGATGAAAGGGCTAAAATTGATATAAGTCGATCGCTGCAAAAGGCTTTCTGGTGTCCATGGATCACCTCTGTCGGAAATTGATGAAACGTCAGGGCGTGGGGTTGTTCAGTTGAGAGGCCAATTATCACGCCTACGGGCAGGAATCAGTTCCCAAACCAAAACTCGCCAAGGTCAGCGAAGCCCTACTTACAGTGTCTTTGGATCGACACTCGTCTTAAGGTAAAATCACTGACGTGGACGACAATATTAGCCAAACTCTGCAAGTTATTGTTCACCAAGTAGCATTCAAATGTTAGAACCATCTTGAATGGAAGTCCAAGTATTATGGAATGGCGATTTCCAGAAAAAGATTAATCAAGTTTCACAAGAATGCTGGGTTGTGAACAAAACTTTCGCCCCAGGCGGGACTAGAACCCGCACCTCTCGAGGCCACTGCTGCTAAAGGCAGTTAACAAACAAAACAAGATTAATCAAGGTTTGTCAAAGTGTTGATTAGATGCTCGTTCGGATTACTAAGAAATTATTTGTTGAATTATTTGCCTTACGAGGCTATTAGGTGGAACATTTTTCGATGACCTAACGTTTTGACTGAATCGTCGTCTTCAGAGGGCGACGGCTTCCATCGTGTGAGCGGAAACGTCGGCTGCCGCACAAGAGCGCTGATCGGTTGTGCGATAGTAATAAGACAATTTGTATTCATAATCAGGTGTTTAAAAGTGAAATTGAGTACGTGGGTGTCGTAAAAAAGTGTGCGAATTCTCACACAGACCTTACTCTGTACACGATCTCGAACTCAAATGATTGAGATCAGTTGGAAAATACAAGTGACAACAGCGTGACGCGATATTGCATTCCACTTTGCTTACCTCGTGGGACATTGTGATACGGTAACGCGCCCCGTCTAAATCATCTCTTTTTCTAGCGTTTATGCGACTTCTTCCTGAGTTTCTTGTACTCATTCTATTGATAACACACCAACATAACTATAAACGCTGTTTGTGAAATGCTTCTTAGATATGCTCAACTTTAGCAATGGTTTTCTTAACCTCACATACTCCTCAGTTCTCTTCAGACTTTGACTTTTATTGTTGAGTAACATATGAACCCCTTTTTCGGTTTACCCCTCTCGAACCTCAAGGAACTTTCTCCAGTTCATGACGCGTGTAGTTGGAATGACCACAACCTTCAGCAGTGATTCGATCACATCTGAATTGAATCGTTCAACCGAATATTCTTGATCGAAGCTTTGTATAACTTCGTATTTTGCATTCGTATTACTTTGTATAGGGCGGAAGTGGTGTAGTGGCAAGTGGCACGCTTACCACGCGAGCGGTCCGGGGATCAAATCCTGGGTCGTGAGTCGCCCGGGCCAACCAAGCCTTCCATCCCTCCGGGGTCGGTTAATTGGTACCAGACTTGTCTGGGAGGATAAAAAACACTGACTTGTACATCGGCTGGCCCCGCAAGTCATTGTATAGGCCACATCGCATTCAAACGCCACTACGAATGTACAAATGGAAGTAGAATGCGTGCCGCATCCCAAAAAGGGATTGATCAACGGCAAATGCTTTATCCTTTATCCTTTTTTACTTGTTTCGTAAGTGCCAAATGATCGCCCTCACAGCTTTGATTATATTTTCGCCTCTGGAACTTTTTTCTTTTTAATACTTCAGCTAGCGTTTGACAGTGAAGAAATGGGTATATATCATATTACAGTGCTTTTGCGGTCATGCAATTAGAAATAAACCGAATTGTTCAAATATAATGCATTTGCAAATATGAGATACTAGATAATAATAAACATAATAAAAATAATAATAGATACTGCATATATGAGGAGATTGAGGGAGTCTGCCGAGACACAACCTAGGTTGAATACAATTGGATATGAATTGTTTATGGGGGATAAGAGCTGTCACAAAGTCGCAGTTGTCCCCTCTGCCATCTAAAGTGCGCACTAGTCTTCTGCAATGATTGCTTCAACCACTTCAGTTTTTTTTCTCTCCCGCGATATTTCTGACACTCTCTCATTCAATGAACTCTCTCCCCTTTTCCTTCTCTGCTCCTTGCTCGATCTCTTTGCCCGTTACCACAGCCAAATCAAGGAACTGCTTCATCCTTTAGTGAAATTCAACGGCATTCTCTCTTTTTTCTACTGCTGGCCCTAGTTATACCAATGCTTCATTTTCGTTCGCGAAAACGCGGCAGAGTTGATCTCAGGCGTACCTCACCAGAAAGGTTAGGTTAAGTTCCGCTTTTTCAGTTTTTTTTTGCTTAGTACAGGCACGTATATGTAGTACAGAATTACATATGTTGCTTTTTCCTGAGCATCCTTCTGAATTCCAAAAAGGGTCTGGGGAAGCTCAAGTGTTACACGTTCTTCGCAGCTTTCAATGTCACTCATATGGGTTCCTGATAGGACTTGCGATAGGGCATCCTTAACTAGCCACGATTACAATTTTGCGACATCATGCAACCAATCGAAAATACAAAACTTTGACGCCACACGGAATCAAACCATACATCAGATTTTCGTCCCTCTTCTGTGGTTCAGAGGGTCGCCAAGAAGAAAAATGAAGTATATTTTCATTTTCCAGACACATTTCTCTACACAATGCAGAAACCAAGTTGAAAAAGCGGGGCATACCCTGGAAGGCCTTCCTGGTTTAAGAACTTCCGGCTAGAATTCAGTATATAGAACACGTTGGAAGAACGAGCTATTCGACATTTCCTTCGTTCAATGAGGACATTCATGTTGTTGAATGTGCACAAAATCACTTTGAGGTTTCACTGCAAAATTGCTCGCAGTGATCCTAGAGAAATTCCGCGTTCTCTGCTCATTTGAGATCTTGATTCAGGAAATTCCAAAAACCATAGATCCGTCTGATTATTTCGCACTTGGCTTTCACGACTCTCAAAGCCTCGAAGCCTTTTTCTGAAACCTTGGGATTGGGATAGGGCTTCAGGACAGCACATTCGAACGCATTTCTGAATCCTCCAAAGGAACAATCCGTCGAACCCATTTTAGGGTTTAATGGGACTCAAAGAGCGTCTACGGCTGCTCTGAAAATAGTTTTGAACTTTGTTCGGCTAACGACGTCTGCTTCATCGGAAATTGAGGGACTTTTTTTGACGACAAAATCCTCGAATGGAGAACCAGCTCCAATGTGATTGGTATGCAATGTGTTTAGAGGTTGGTTTGCAGAGTCATATAGCTTGCAGCTTTTGCAGAAGCAATAACTTGCAGCTTCTCCGAATTGGGACCTCTCCAGAATTCCCAGTAGTTTGACCGTCGCGCGGTGGTAGTTGAGCGCTTTCGAAGCAGGCGTCCTGTCTGGCATAAAGTTTTCCATTTTAAGAGAGGCCCATGGGACCTTTTGAGCTCCTGTGGATGTCGGGTTTTGCTCCCTCTACAAAGGAAGCCCAGCTTTTGCCCTGACGTGTGTGGAACTAGTTCACGTTCGTTTACAGACGTCTGAGCGTATATATACAAGCATGAAAAACGGCCAACGAATCACTTTCATTGTGTGCAAAACATTGAGCAGTAACACTTAGTCTCTGATGCACTTTCAGCTATGGTTTCAGCTCTTCCAAGACTGAGGTAAAGGACCTGAGCGAAAGATCGTGGATTTTGACCTCTAGCTCTAGATGACGGAGAAAATAAAGAAAGCCAACGAATTGAGTCCTCGACAAACCGCACAAAACTTGCATGGAGATTCAGTTGTGTCAACAGAAAATTTAAAAGTTCCTACGTGCGACTGTTAAGGCCTTTCAGGATAGAAAATGGGTTCGGCCTATTCTGAGCGACGCGAGCAAGCAGTACTGGTTGCCAATACTGGAACTTCGCTCCATAACTTCAAGAGGAAAAAGGTTCTTGACTTTGTGTTGACCGCATTTTACAAAGAGATGTTTCCCAATAACAACGCGAGAAGATGACCGTGGTTGGCGGCTGATGGCAGCTGAGGGCCCTCTGAAACGGACATCCACTGAGAAAAAGTCGTGCTACGGTGTGGTGGAACAGTATAAGACTGGCCTACTATGGAGAGCTGATTGTGGGTCAGACAGTTACAGCTGAAGCCTGCGCACAAAGCCCGCCCGCGTGGACCGAGCTCTGCGTCGTCAAGGGGTGAATTCGGCCAATGTAAAACTATTGCACCATAACGGAAGACCACATGTCGTGAAAATCACGCAACAAGAAATCGAGGAGTTGGGCTGGGACGTTCTACCTCCAGCGCCATATAGCCCAGGTCTGGCGCCGTCCGACTATCACTGACCCAGGTCAGCGCAACACTCCTTAGCAGCAAACCAATTCGATAACCGCGACGACGTCAAAATTTGAGTGCTTCGAGTCGAACCAGAAAGAGTTCTACGCGGTAGGCATCCATGCTTTGCGTAACGAAAGGTGATGAGCCTGTGACACAGGTGAAGGAGATGGTTCAGGTTGATGTGCTTCATTATTGTTTTTATAATGAAAATAATTGATGATCGAAAACGACATTTCAATCTGGCCAACCTAATATAATTTTATTTAACGTTTTTAGGCAAGCAGCACAATGCGCTCACGGTAAGTTATTACTCTCTACTGCAGATGAATTGCTGTTCTTTTACGCATTCCCTGTTCAACATTCAACAAATTTCAATAAAAGCTCTGGCAATACGCGACTCCATTAAGTTGTTGATGATCCCAGACCCAGAATTTCCGGGAACGAATTTGTCGCTTTCCCAACGAGTGTTTTTCAATGGCTATCAGCGGATGCTGCCAGCCTCGCGATAGCACTCCATTTCGTTATTAGCCCTGGTGACCACAGGGGGCCGATTGCACTGCATAAAAAGCCTCACTTCGAATGGAATATTTACTATTTGCTCTCGAGCTCATGTGTATGGTGAATGCAGAGAAGATCTGATTCATACCCCAGATATCAGCACTTTCTATAGGTTATCATTTTGGTTCTGCACTCACTCTTCACTTATTCTTTATTTACTCTTATTTTTATTCTTAAACCTCGCTCCTACTTCCTACATATTACTTTTCATAAACTTGACTTTTCATGGAATGTGTCAAGTTTGGACGAGTATCATTCCACCCTCTAAAGCTCATCAGCGAACACCCTGTCCGTTGTAAAAAGGCTTCACGTCATAACAATAAATGATTCAGAAGCAAATTAGTGAGAGACGCAAGCTTAACGTTCTCCGTGCACTATCATTATATAACAATAATAATCATTTTAGAAATATAGATAATAGAAACAATAATGTGTAACAAAGGTGATTTCCTTGGGTATCGTAGAATTTTTAGAGAGTCTTGCTTCGATAGACTAACCATATTATGTGACATTAGAGAGAGAGATTCATCAGTCCAGGCCATAACATTCATAGTATACGTATGTACTAACTTTTCCCATCACTTTCGTTCTGACTGACATGAGTTTTAGTCGCGTACGTACACATTGCTACACACTACCAAGCGAAGTAGGCAAACGAGCCCTTTCGGTGTTTCTGATGGGGCGTATGCCTAATGTTGGGGAGGGGATGGGGATCCACGACGGTCAACGGACTACTTCAACTCGGCCCTTGAAACCAACTCAGTTCGGTGTTCACCTCAGGAACTATGCCTTGAGGTGAACACTTCACTGTGCCACGTCTCTCCAAGCTCAATTTCGGTAAGTAACACAGCCCTTTTGCAGAGCTGCGCACCTATCGGCACACTTGTGTCATCACTCTCTCCTACCAGTACCACCGAGTTCAAGTAGTGTCCAACCTAGAGGACCATTATCCTTCCCCCCAACATTCAGCATACTGCCCCAGCAGGAACGCCGAAAGAGCTGGTTTGCTTACCTCCTGCAAAGTATCCTGGCTGCACTAAGGAGATCACTGTAAAGCTAAGGGATGTCACTTTGGTGGCGCGTCTCTGGCAGTGACCACTTACTTAGTACTTGTAGAATCTTTTTCGCTGCCTCCTGATGCAAGCTTTTTTTCTGCGTTTCAGGCAAAAGCGACTTGACGATGATCTTTAGGCAGCACCTTAGTCATCAAGGGTAGAGGTGATCAGTTATGCACAGATGAAGAAAAAATCAAGTAAAACGGTCTAGAACAAGAGAGCTGGATCCCCTCTTAGCCGCTGATTTGCACTTCAGGCAAATCTCATCGCTGCTGACCTCACCAAAACTAACGCTCTTTTCGCTAGAGCGTGCAGGTCCAGGACGGCGAGAGTCAACAATGAATGGGCATGTAGCGGCGCGGTGGCATGGTACGGCCCTGCTAAGCCCCCTTATTATAGTTGTTGTATAATGAAACCTTTAGCTGCACCGTCCCACACCTTGGGCCACACGCCTGTCTCTTCGACGAAGGTATATTTTTCCCTTCCTTCAAACCTCGACCTTACCGTGAAGTCGTCTTATTTCAAGCTTGTGTGACGTGGGTGAACCTCAGCTCTTCCCCCATCTTACTCTAAAGAGAAGCACATCACAAACAATTAAGTCTGTCGGTGTTCCATCTTTTTCTTCTCGAATGCGCCACCAAGACAACCCATCTCACAATCTTAATAGAAATTTGAACCGCGGCTTTGTCTTTAATAACGACCTGTGATACATCGTTCTTAGGTACGTAGGTGCGGCGATATTCGACCGAGCTTTCGAACCCGCACAGCGCGCGTGTGATATTGTCAGGTTGTGCCCCCTCCGCTCTCGTAAGCAGCGCTTTCTTCAGTGATCGTTGGCACATGAAATGTTTTTCTCATGGCAGTGACGTGATCGTGCCGTTACCGAAGCTATTCGCCTACATGTAAAGGTTTGAAATCGAACACGTGATTGTAACATCTTTCCATTTTGCGTAAAGACCTCGCTGGGATGCAGCGCTAACGCAAGTTATAGTATATATAGAAATGTTAATTGTATGAAGAATAAGCCGTTTTAGCGCGTTATACATTCTTTCAAGTACACTGGCTCGAAATAAAGATTGTACTCTATTGTGATGACGTTGTGACAGTGCAAATGACTTGTCCATTCGGCGTTCACCTTTGAATTAATACTTGCCAGTTCTCTATCGAAAGTGAGACGCAACTTTATTTCCAGTTTTCACTGTGTGGAAGGAAGACGTCAAAGGCACCCCTAGGATCACACTTGTGTGGCTCTTGCACAGTATGCGAATGTATTGGTGCGAAATGGGTGAAAAAAAAGGAAAAGAATCCGTCGAAAACGCTTAGGTTAAGGGCTCACTCACCTTCCAATCGGCTGTGCTAAGGGAATGAGAGACTAAGCGCGGAGAGGAGAGTATGAGGCGAGAGAGCGCTACAGATGAGAGGGCGCCAGACAACAGCCTGATGAGAAAAAAATTGCAGCTGCTGCAGCTTACTTTGCAAGGCCCTAGCGCTCTTTCGGTGATTTCCGTGCACGGGAGTGCCACATCTGTGATTGTCCTTTAGGGTTCTATACTACAAACCTAGCATTCACACGACCTCTGCCTGGTTGTGGCATTGACAGAAAATTTTCGCCATTATCTATATGACGGTCTATCGATCGGTCGATCTAGTGACGGTTTTTTCGTAAAAAAAACTCGTCACTTTCCATGACAAATTCGCCGATACGTTTCGAAGATATATTTCTTTCAATTATCCTAATTTTTACACCACTCGCGCAACTTACAAGTTCTTTCTAACATTTTTTCCTCATTAACCTCCATGACAGCATGGTGGTGTAGCAGTTAGCGGTGCCGCATAACTCCTTGAATGGTTTGACGATGGTGTCCAATTCCAGATCGAATCTAGTCCACATTGACCCTGAAACTACGACTTTTTTAAAGATATGTTGTCGATGTGTTTTGTGTAGCAACAAACCATAACTAATCATCTTCAGAAATTGGCTGACTTGCGCTGGATTTGACCTGAGATTAGATCCAAGGACCATGTGGGCAATATAAGCCACCATACCTTCTCCGCTCACATGAGTATTTTTGAAATTTCAATTGGCAATCTAATTACCACTTAAAAATACACATTTTTCACATTTCAATCGTAGAACAAAGCCAATCGGATGGGACTGCACTTGGGAAGAGGAAGCCGCGCACTGTAGGCTTTTCGGGTTGAACTCCTGCTCTAGCAAAGTTTCGTCTACTTCTCCTACCTCGAAATTTATGTCGTAATAAGAATTTCCTAATTTCTCCTCCGCACCATCGATCTGTCCATAATCTCTGAAGTTGGAAGCTACAACACTGTTGTAGAACGCCGCATCGGCGCAATTCCGCCATCAAGTGGGGCTCTTGTCTCTACAAGCCCTAAAATTGTGGTAGTGTCTTCGACGGCGAGAGGTGTGCAAATATGTACCAACAGTAGTCACAGGGTTGACAAAATCTCCCATTC